AAAAAAAAAAAAAAAAAAAAAAACCACAAAACCCTAGAAAAAATAAAGCAAAGACAAGCTCTTCTCATTACATCATTTTAATTGCATCAACACCCAGAAATGCACGTGCCAAGAGCCACCCATCCAAGAGGGCATCTTTCCATGGTGGGTCTTACTTTCACACTCCTTTCACTCCAAAAAAAAAAAAAAAAAGGAAAAAAAAAGGAAAAATATGTAATTATAATTGCACTGGTTGATGTACAAACACAGTCTTCCCTTTTCACATGTCAGTGGGTTCTGTTGGAACAGGAGGGTGAAACCCCAGCGTATGCCCGGTGTGGCCACAGCAGCTCCCCAGGAAACGAAGAGTTGTACAAAACAGCATCAAGATKTTCATACAAACTGCAGTGTTTACTGGTTGGTTTTTTGGGATTTTTTTTTTTTTTGTATGTTTTCTTGTAAGTTTCAAAACTAGGTTTTTTTGGGTCACTAATGGCTTGTATCTTTTATCTACAGTAAATTTAGCATAAATTTTTATTTTTAGGAATGTGTAAGGCATTTTGGTAAGTTTAACTGTAAGGTCCAGGGTGCAGACTCGTCAAACTGAAGTCCCTTCCTTTGAACTGTCCTCTTTTCCCTGGAGAAGGAAGAAAGAAGAGGATTACTCAAGCTGCTCTTAGCCTTATCCTCACGGCAGCTCAAGCCCCAAAATACTTCACAGATGGGGCAGGGAGAGCCTTGACCACCACCTTGTGTGGTCCCAGGGTTTCCCAAAAGCCACCCAAATGCTTTCTAGCAGCAAGGGGACTGTGTCTCCAGCTTTAATCCCTGCCTCCACCAGCACCAAGGGGAGAGCCATGGCCACCACCAGTACCGTTTCTTGAAGCTGTTCTTTCAACTTCTTCACCATTTCTCTCTCTTTGGCCAGTTGGTCCTGGGTAACCTTCAGGAGCTCCTGGAGTTTGGTTGCTGCCTGGCCCAGGTCCTTTGTTAATTTTTTTTCTTTTTCAAGCCTTTCCTATGTGGCAGTCAAAAGAAGGCAGCTGCCTGAGCCTCTCCCTTTGGTGCCTGGTGACCTTCCCCCCTTCAGAACAGCTTGGGCCACCTTGAGTGTGCATTGAGCTTTTTCAGTGACCTCAAGGCAGTGGGGACACACAGGGACAACAGGCATCCCCCACGAGCTCCAGCTCTCTCTGGCTCCCTGCAGATGCTCTGGGTGGCTTCCAGTGGGAGTGTTTGCTCAGGGCACCACATTTCTCTCAGCCTACAGAGATGAAGTGACCCTGCTGTCCTTTGGCCATGGTGGAGCTCTCAACCATCCCCTGCCTCACTGCCCCATCCTTAGAAATGGTCAATCACACCCTTAGTCCTCTCCCTTGCTCAGAAATGGTCAATCACACCCTTTGGACATGACATTTGCCATCGTGGCACAGCCAAATCACCTTGAGATGCTGGGTCTCCTCCTTGTCTGAAGCTGCTGCATGTTCAGCCAGTCTCAGCTTCTCCAGCTCGGCTTGCAAGCTGCGTGCTAAGCTCTGGGCCTGCAGAGGGACACGCTCAGTAAGCACAGAAGGCAGCAGTGCCAGCATCTCCCACACATCCTGCTCCAGACATCCCCGAGTGCCTGCTGGGTGTGCCCTGAACAAGAGTTGGGTTGCACAGCCACATGAAGCTTGTGCAGATTCAGCTTGCASCAGGGAGATGGCATTTCTTGCCAGGAGCAGCAGGAAACCCAGCTAAAGCCCTTAAAGGAAAAAGCTGGCAAAAACATGGGGGAGGTGGAATTTGGGGGGCCGGTGATGCCACACRGCTTTAGCAGAGCTGCTTTAAGAAACTCTTCAGATGTGGGAGGGAWTGTCTCACAGGGATGTCTGAGGTGTGGACAGGGATGGGAAAAATAAAAATTAATTATTTCTATTAATTCTTGGGCTTCATTAGCAGCCAAGAGCCCAGGAAAGCTTTGCAAACCCTGGTATCCTCCTCGCCTGCACCCACCTCCTCCAGCTCCCGTGCCAGCTTTTGCCGCAGCGTCTGCTCCCTCTCCGCCAGCGTTTCGTTCTGCTCCAGCTGGGTTTTCAACTGGGTTGAGAAAAGGGGAAAACACCCAGAAAGAACTTTTTTTAAAAGATTAAACACATAAGCTAGCAGGGAAATCACCGAGAAAGCTGGGCTGGAAAGAAGGAATAAAAATGGAAGCTTCCCYCAAAAAAGGGCAAGAGGCAGCAGCATCCGCCCTCTGCACAAGAGCTGGGAAGATGCTGATGGCAAACCTGGGGCTTGGCTTAGCATTGCCAAATTGGGTTTCTCAGGCAGCACAGCTGGGATGTGGGATGGGAGGCACCCCATGGAGGGGGATGTGCCTGGTGGGCCCCAAGGACTGGGAGAAAACTCCACGGTTAGCAGGATTGAAGGAGAAAGAGCCTGGCTTGTGGCAGCATGATGGATGGAGGGAAGGATGGTAAAGACACCCCACCTCCTGCCCCAGGGTGGTGACAGGTCCCCATGGTGGCACAGATGGGATTTTCTGCTATACACAGGCTGGAGCAGGCCTTGCTGCTCTCCCTCCCTCACCACCCCCATCACGGGAGGAAAGATGGGTGAATGAAAATCTCCTCCTGGGTCTCAAGCATCACCTCTGGAAATGTGGTTCCCAGCAGCACCAGGCTTCCCCRTGCCATGGCTGTGCCCTCCTGCCCTCCCTGAGCCCACAGGAAGGCTGCTGGCTTCTACAAACAGCCAGGACCTGCCAGGGCAGCACCCAAGGTCCCTCCATACCAGGGCCAGCTCCTTGCTCTGCTTCTGYGTTTCAGTCTTTGCTGCCTCCAGCTGCTCCTGGGACTCTGATAAGAGCTGCCTCAACTGCCAGGGAGGAACAGAAAGAAGAAAAAAAAAAGTCCTTTTATGCACTTGGTTTTGGAACTTTTGGCCCAAGGAAGCTTTTTTATGATGCAACATCTCAAAGTGGCCATGGTGGCATCACATGTGGAGCTGCCTGCTCAGAGACAGGTCAGTGTTACCTGCTCAGAGACAGGTCAGTGTCACATGGGTGGCCTGAGTGGTCACCACACAGGCCACCCATGAGCAGGACACAGCACCTCCATACACATCTCCCATCACCTTGACCACAAACTCCTGACCCAGACTGGAGCTACCATCTCCATCTGTTTTCTCCTTTGCAAAGCAGCAGACCCCAGGGGTGCTCCCCAGACCCCCAAGGCACTCCTCAAATCCTCACAAGGTTCATGGGTGGTGAGTTGGGGTCAGCAGGAGGKGAAGGAGGCACTTACAGCTCCAACTTCTTTTGTGTAGTTCTGGCGCTCGGAGCTGGCTGTCTCCAAGTGATTTTCCAGTTGTGTTTCCAGAAGAGASGTGTATTCCTTCAGCTGCATCAAAGGAGAGGAAAGCAGGAGGGGATTGATTGACTGAGGTCTGTCACATCCCATGGTTAAAGTCACCCACCCCAAGCATAGCATGCCCCTCTCTGGCATCTGTACATCTGTACAGAGCTCCCCGCTCCCCAAAAATCCTCACCTGATCTGTGCTCTGCACATCTGCTTTCAACTTCTCCACCACGCCTTCCAGGGATTTCAGCTGCAGCTGTGACTGAAGCAGAGAGGAGCAAAGAATGCTGAGCACCCCTGGCTCCATCAAAAGCCGRGGGCTGTTTGACTCCCACCTCTCCCACTCCATCCTGTACCCACCAGGGGGAGGTCTGGCCAGCCAAGGGCAGCTCCACAGAGGAGCTCTGCCTCCAGGGAGGACAAATCTAACACACAGAGGCCACAAACTGTGGAGCAAGGCAGCTTCAGGCGGCTGCAGTCAGGTTTAACACCCGAGATACTGGCCCCAGACTCAGCACACATTTTCTCCTGAAAGCACCTTTTAGTTTGGAAGCAGCAACTTTCCAACGAGGTGCCACAGACTTCATTATTAAGAGAGGCCAAGCTGCCAGAAAAAGCACTTAAACCCCGGCTGGCTTTTGAAGAGAACTCCACAGATGSTGGTTTTTGGGGAAGGAGGAATTCTCCTCCTCTCCACCGAGAGGCAGGGTTGCTCTGAGAGCTGCCCTAACCCCAGACGTTCTCCCGGTCACGCACAGCAGCAGCAGCCACGTCACCCTGTGCAATCCTACACCAGCCCTCGGTGCCAGCAGGGGGCTGAGGAATGCAGCATCTCTGCTACAACAGCTTCCCCCTCCTCCCTGCAGTGCCAGTTCATTCCAAAATCCCTGTGRGGAGCAGCCAGACCATGGGAAACAGCTCAATCTCAGTTCTGCCCTCGAGAGGGAAGGTTCTATGTGAGGTGAGCTTTTTGTCAGCTGGTTTGGTGACAGGAGGGGTAGATTTGGGGAGAAAAGGAAGCCCCTGTGTCTGGCATGAACACTCAGGGTCATCCAACCAATTTACAGCCAACAGATCCCCTTCTGGAAGTCTCCTGGAAGTCTCCTGAGGTCCAGCTCCAAACCCAGCAGTGCCACCAACACTGACCTTCTGGAGCTCCTCCTCGGAGGCCGTGAGCTTTGCCTTCCACACCTGCTCCTCCTCCTCCACGCTCTTCTGCAGGTTTCGCAGCATCCCTTCCTGCGGGCAGAGCCTCARCTGAGCCCAGAGCTCCTGCAGCCCCAGTGGGCTGAGCAGGGCAGAGCTGGAAGCCTTGGCACACCCAAAGCCTCTCCAAGGATTTGGGCCAAACAGCAGAATGAGGTGCCTCAGGTGGGYTCCTAATTCCTATTCTGGCTGAACCATCCCAACCCTCAGAGCCCTTGTTGTGTCTCATGTCACCAGCACCAGGAAGGTTCCCAACACGATCAGGCTGACCCAGAGCTCCAGAAAGTCACGTTTATCCTGTTCCTCTCACTGACAAACACTCTGCCTCATGGCAGCCCCCCAGCACACCAAGGGATGCCCACCCTGAGCTAACAGGAGACCTCTCCAGAGGGATTTCCAGTGGGAAGGTGGCAGGGACTCACTGTCTCTGCGAGGATCGTTCTGTACTGCTCACATTCTGCTTGTAAAGTGCTTTGCGCTTCCTCTGCCTCTTTYAATTTCTGAGCTGAATCCTGAAAAGAGAGGGAAGGGGAGAGATGAGGAGAAGGAACATGTGACCCTCCAGCACTCCCTCACCCTCCACTTCCCAGCCCTCRCTTACTGGCAGCTCTGTTGTGATCAGCTGCTGCTTTAGCACACCCACGGCCTTCTCCTTGAACTCCTGCAGCCACGTGTCGTAATCCTGAGTTTGGGAACAGGAGAATGAGGAAGGAGGATGCTCAGATCTGTCCTTGCCATGTGGAGGAGGCTCTGGGGGGGCTGAGGAAGCCTGTCCCACCTGCTGTGAGGACACGGTGACGCTGGGCAGGGCGGAGAGCAGCGTCTGCTTGGTTCGCACCCGGAGCGCGTCCAGCTGCTGGGCCAGCTCTTCCTGAAAGAGGGACAAACTGCAGTGGGGTGGGGTCCTGGGCACCTGCTGGCCAGGGTGACCACACTGGTCCTGCTTTTATGGGCCTACAGGGCTGGGGGAACCAGCCAGCACAGAAAACATGCTGGAAAACATGAAAACATCACTTCCAGTTCAACCACCTTCCACAAACTCTGACCACTACCAGGGATGCACTGCCCTCAAGGCAAATTTTGGAGAAGATTTGGGCCAGTGCTGCTCCTAAGGAGGCAGGCAGCCCAGGGCAAGCACTGCTGGTGGCTGGGGGAAGCTGAACATTTCCCTTCTAAGTCCAGGAGAAGACCAGGCTCACCTTTTCCTTTGTAGCAGCCAGCAGCTTTTCCTCGCACGCCTTCTCCACCGTGGTCAGTGCTTCCATCGCCTTCCARTTCTTCTCCCGAAGGTCCTGTGGAGGCCACACAGACAGGGCCATAAGCCACGTGCTGTGCCAAARGCCACCACACTGCTCCCTGGCACTGCAGAGGATTCCAAAGCCTCTGCTCAGGGAGCCTTCCATGCCATGCCCTGGGTAGGATCCCTCTGGCTCAGCAGGTCCCAAACCTCCCACGAGAGCAGGGGATGGACATCACCTCAGGCAGCCCTCAGCTGCACTGCCTGCCAGGGGTATTCCTGCTCTCTGCCAGATGAGGCAATGCCTCCAGGGCTCTGTGGGGCTGGAAGAGCCCCTGGCCACTCCCTGGAGCCATCAGGACGGGCTGTGTTTCGCTCACGTACGTTGTTTTTCACCTTCTGCTGCTCCACGGCCTCTCGCAGCTGCGTGGCTTCCCTCTCCAGGGCTGAGAGCTGGTTTGTCTTCTCCTGGAGCCTGCAAGGGCAGGATGCAGGAGTGAGCCCTCCTCAAGAGCAGCATCTCCCAAGACAGAGAGCACAGCCCTTCCCATCCTGCTCTCCTCTGGCATCTGCACACAGCAGGAGGAACAGGGAGCAGCACTGAATGCCACAGTCACAATTCTGGGCAATTCTGCCAATTCTGGGCTGGGAGCTGCTTTTCTACTCCCTCACCTGCTTTTCTACCCCCTAACCTGCAAAAAGCACTCAAGGAACTGGCTGGCTGCACACACACACAACAAAAATAGGATGCAAAGGGCAGGAATTGCAGCTTGCACCACTGGAACTGCTCCTACCCAAGGCTRAGGAGGCTGGGAGAGCCCACAGGTCTGCATTTTGGGAGCATCATCCCACTGTCCCGAGTAACCCTAAATCAGGGCTTTCTGTGCTGGGGAATGAGGGAACAAGTTAATCTCCATCCTTGGCAACACCTGGAAACATTTCTTAAAAAATTTGCTCTGGTTGGCCCAGCCCTGAGCAGAGACATCCCACACCAGCACCAGAACCTCCTGCTCTGCAGGGCTGCTCAGACTCTGTGTGCCAGCAATTCCGTGCTGCTTCAGAACAGGCTGGCTGTTACACCAGAGCCAATGAACATCTCAAACAGCTCTGCTGGCCAGGATTGACCTGCACTTCCCAGCTGGACAGTCCCCCAGGCTGCCTGGAAGGCAGGAAGCCCTCAGACCCACAGCAGTGCTCGAGGAAGCCTGTGACACACAGATAGAGATCTGGAGGTGCCACAGCAGGACATGCACCTGGACCCACCTGGACTGCAGCTGCTTCATTTCTGCTTCGTTGGCTGCCTGGAAGACAGAAAACACTTTGATCACCTGCCCCAGGCACGGGACACAGATCAGCCCTTCCTGTGGCACCCCAGACAGGCTCCCAGAGCAAAGACAGCTCAGGGAMTGTGTGAGCAGTGTCACCCCCTCCCCTCCTCCCACCCCGGTTAAACGAGCACACAACCTGCAAGTCTCTGTCTTTTTCTGCCTCCCTCATCTGGCCCGCCTCCAGCAGAGCTTCGATGGACTTGATCCTCTCCAGCAGCTTTGTGTTCTCCGAGCTGGCATCCTGCAGGCTGCCTTTCACACTGTCCAGCTCCAGCAGCTTGCTTTTCACCTCTGCCTCGGAGYTCAGCAGCTTGGCCTGCAGCTCTGCCAGAGGGAAGGGTGACAAACACTGTAGGGCAAGTGCAAACAAACCTGGAGACTCCTCACCCTGCTCTGTCCCAGCAGGATTTTGGCCATGGATGCTTTGAAAGGGCAGGCAGGGATGCAGAACAGCACAGGAGTAACATCCTGGGACACCAATATCAATAGCCTAACCCATCCCTGGATCTACCTGTCCTGCCCCAGCTGGCTCCTCCAGGCTCTCAGAGCCTCCAGTCAGCCCTCCCCAGGCTGGTCCCAGCCCCTCACCAGCGATGCTCTGCTGCTGCCCTTTGCTCTTTTCTGCCTCTGCCAGCAGGCTCTTGTAGCTGCTCTGGGTTTTGCGGAGCTCGTCGTTGACCTCGTCCAGCCTCTTCTGCAGCACCAGCTCAGCCTCCCGCTGGTAAGCCTGCAGGGCAGGAAGAGAAGGCTCCCTGGAGCGTGGCAGACACCCCAGGCAATGGGAAGCAAAGCTTCATGCGGCACATAATCCTATTTCTCAGCTGTGTTTTGGGGGATTAAAGCCACCCTGCCCCCAAGCTCCCCCTGTGCACGAAGCATCCTGCCTCGCACTCGCATTTGATCACGTGCCAGCCCTCAAGTTGGGAAGGAGACAATACCCAAATGTCYCGGTTCTGGGCCAATTCCACAGCCAACCTCCCCTCTGGAGAGCTCTGAAAAACCTCTCAGAGCCCTGCTTCAAATCACCCCAGCCCAGCAGGGAGAGGTGCTGGCACAGGGCTTTGCAGAACAGAGACACCCAACCACGTTTCCACACGTGGAGGAATTTTCTGTACAATTTGGGCCAGGGAATACATTTTTTTCCAACTTAGGAAGCAGCAAGGAAGAGGCCAGGACAGGGCAAGTGTTTTGAGGGGGAAGGCAGAAGAGGAAGAGGTTGAATTGCAGCTTTATAGGTAAAAGTGGCAGCCTTGCAGAGGGAGAAAAATTGCCTTGCATGGAGGGGACAGGAAAAGGGAAACCAGCAGGCCTGTCTGTGTCCAAGGGTTGCTTCCAGCAGCACCAGGAAAGCAGAGCTGCTCTGGTTTTTGAGGGTTTGAGTCCATATCCTCGGCTCAGAGCTCCAGATGTTACTGTGGAACCTTGAACACATCCCTGACTTCAGAGTCTTCCAGCTCATGTGATTTATTTAATTAGCAATTAAGGCGTGCAGCAAGCTGACAGCCCTGGAGCTTTCCCAAAAGCGTGTCCAGGAGCTCCTGCTTTGAGCCAGGAAGGCAGCTCCTGCCCTCACATCAGCTGTGTGCTCACATCACYCCCCGTCCCACCTGCAAAAGCAACAGGAGCCAAGTGCAGCCCACCAGAAGGAGATCCACATCCTCAGGCACACTAAAAATTAGGAGTGAGGATATGGAAGGCCCCCTGCTCTAGCAGCAGCTCCTCTACAAAACCATTTTGGCATGTGCAGATAAAGGTCTCCTCCACCAGAGCCCCTTCTTGAAGAGGCCAGAGCAGTTCAGAGAGCACAGCACATTCCTGAGGGACATCCCTCACCCTGTCTCCCAGCTGGGAGCATTAATCCCAGCACACAGCTCAGCAACACCCCAGCAGGATCCACTGTCAACATCCCCAGAAGATGCCATTCCCTGTGAGCACAGCCTGCTGCCAGCAACACCTCGGTGCTCACAGGCTCTGCCTGGCAGGTGTCAACATCCCAAAAAGTCCCAAACCTGGCCATGCCCTGCTGGTAACCAAAAAAGACACAAGGCTCCATCTCCTGCACTGGGGAGAGAGAGCAGCAGGCTTCAAACCATCTGAGTTTGAGAGAGAATCTGCAGGAGAATGGCTYCAGCCAGGCCATCCCACTCCCTGGGCCCTGCTGGTGACACTGCACGAGGGGCACACGGAATGTGAAAAGATAATGGGGACAGAGCAATCAGGAACCCTGCCAGGCAGCTTCCTTCCCAGCCATGGCCATCCATCCCAGCTCTTCCCATGGCCACTGAGCCACCCATCCCTGCCAGGGATCCCATCCCAGCTCTTCCCATGGCCACTGAGCCACCCATCCCGGCCAGGGATCCCATCCCAGCCCTTGCCATGGCCACTGAGCCACCCATCCCTGCCAGGGATCCCATCCCAGCTCTTCCCATGGCCACTGAGCCACCCATCCCTGCCAGGGATCCCATCCCAGCCCCACCTGCAGCTGCTCAATTCGCTTCTCCGCCGCCACCGCTTTGAGCTCCCAGCTCTTCCTCTGCTGCTCCTCCTGCTGCAGCACCTCTGACTTCTCAGACAGYTCTTTCACCAGTTTGCTGCACTCCTGCCTCAGCTTGGCCAGCTCAGCGTTCTGCCTGCAGTGACACAAGCAGGGTTATTTCAGCCCACGGGCCAGCAAAGCCTCACTGGTGCTGCCATGGGGGAATAAACCCTCCTGCGGGCCAGACACGGGGCTTGAAACACCTCAGATGGTGAACTTTGTTTGCCTGTTTCTAGGACACTCCTGGTYCTTCAGGGAAAGGGGGTGGAAAGAGCCAACAAATCACTTTGGAAAAGTCCTGTTTCAGTCACAGGAGACATTCCTTTCTCATGAAGTAGAGGACACATGGATCTGTGCTCCCAGACACAAGAGGAAGCACTGCAGCTGGAGTCCACTCTGCAATTACTTGAGCACTGTTAATCACCACTCATTTCAGACTGTCTATAAAAAGGAGTGTGAAATTCTTCCCCCCAGCTCCTATTTGCTCTGCACACGCTGAGCTGGACTCTGCTCTCTGTTCCCTGCAGCATCACTYCCATCAAACAGCCAGCTGCACTTCTTCTCGAGTTTGACAAGAATCTCTCCAGGCTCCACTGCCTGTTGGYTCTGGCATCAGTGTGGGTGCCCCCAAAGGACAGAGGGATTTCCTGCTCTTTCCCYTGGGAAGAACATCCTTGTTTCCCTGGTGGCCTCCCCAAAGCCATTTGGCATGCTCTCCCTCCCTCATTCCCTCCTCTWCCTCCAGCTAGCTGAGGTGTCTGTGCAAAAAGAGAGAAGGGGGTGGCCAAGCCAGGGTTTGCCCCTCACCCAGCCTTACTTGCTCTCCATCTGGCTGGTGGCCTGGTTGAGGGCGTCCCTCAGGATGGAGTTCTCCTGCTGCAGGCGAGCCAGCTGCGTGTTGGGGCCGTTCTCCAGCTGCTCCTGCAGGCTGCGGATCTGGGGGAGCCCAACGGGGGTCAGTGCCACCAGCAGCCCCTTCTCTTCCCCTGCTGAGCCCACCAGATGAGCTCAGCCCCCTCCAGAATGTCACCCAGGTGCCACCAGCAGCCTCCTGGCACAGGAGGAGAGCAGAGCTGGGGCTCACCTTGCCCTGGAGCTGCTGGGTCTCGCTGACRTGGTCCTGGTAGCTGGCCTGCATGCGCGCCTGCACGGCCACGATCTCCCGCTCGCGGGCCAGCAGCTGCTCCTTCAGCTTGCCCTCCACGGCCACCGCCTTGGTCCGCTCAGCTGCCAGCTCCTTCCAGGAGAGGAGACCCCCAGTTAGCCCTCAGAGCCTGGGCTTCCCCATTTGAAGAGGATGTGGCCCCCTAGCTCAGCAGAATACGAAGTTTAGCCCTTTTCCTTGCTGCCCCCATGCCCAGGTACATTCGGCACTTACATTTCCTCCTGCATTTTGTTTTGGGCTCTGTGGCCACTGGATGCCACTGTTGTTCCATGTTGGGCCAGCTAAGAGAAAGGAGTAAGACAGCCTGGAATTTTATTTCCCTCCCCCGGGATAAATAACATCACACAAGTTTGGGGCAAAGCGGAAAAACGAAGCAGATGGGCTCAGCAGCCACAAGGTCAGCGCAGCCGAGATCTGCTCTGCCTTCAACACCCAAAAAGYGGTGGAGGCAGGGGGCTGGGTCAGGGAAGGGTGCTGTAAATAGGATCAGGCTCCTCATAAAAGCACCTTCTCAGCTCAGGGGATGTGGGCAGGAAGGAGGAAGGGTTTGCTTTTCTCCCTGAGCACAAAGGGCTTCCCCTGCTTTTCCCATGGCTCTGTGGGCCCAGCACAGGAGGGCAGAGGGGATCCCCTCCCCTTTTTGGGATGAAAACAGCCAACAGGTGAAGTGCCCAAATGGCTCAAAGAGCCCCTGAGCTTCACCTGCATGGGGGCTGAGATGTGGGGAGCACACAGGGACGCCACCAGGGCCACGCCAGGCTCACCTTGCTCAGCTCCCGCAGTTTGTTCTTGGCAGCAGCTGCATCCTCCTGCTCAGCACTGAGCTGCTTCTCCTTCTCCTCCAGCTGGCGTTTCARGACAGCAACGGGGTCACCCTTCTGCGTGGCCTGTCAGCACAGGGGGTGCATCAGCAGGGATCAGCACCTCCAGAGCCATCCCCTCCACCCCACAGCACCACATCYTGCCCAAAAACGGGGCACCTTCCCTGCCGCTGCACCCCCTGAGGTGAGAGCCCTGGCAGAGCCCTACCGTGTGCCAGGTGTCCTGGATGATCCCTGCTTTCTCTGTCAGGATCTCGATGAGCTGCTGCGCCTCGCCCTCGCTGAACACCATGCTGCTGACCGTGGACACCAGCGCCTTGTAGGGCAGGTACAGCGCCCCGTCTGAGTCTGGAGGTGCTGGGGAGGAACAGGAGGGCTTGGAACTGCTGGGGACAACAGCAGGCCATCTCAAACCATCACCCACCCCCTTTTCCACAGGGACCGTGAACTGTTGTGCACATGGTCACCATGGCGAGAGGGTGATGGGTTTAGGGATTCCCATTTCGTATCTACAGCCCAGTAGGCTCATTCTCCCAGAAAATCACAGGAAGAAAAGCAGTCTGGAGCAGCAGCAGAGCCCCTGAAGTCATGAACACCAGGGTCTCTTGAATACAAAGCTTTGGATGCCCAAGCAGTATGACTCAAAGGAGAAGGAGAAAGAAGTGCTGGAGCAGATTCTCCCCTGGAGTAATGAGCAGCTTCTAGAGAGGAGCCCATGCTGGAATAGGCTTCGCCTGGAGGATTGCAGCCCATGGAAAGCCCCATGCTGGAGCAGGGGAAAGGTGTGAGGAACAAAGAGCTGCAGAGAGTGGGTGTAATAACCTGACCACAGTCCCCATCCTCCTGCACCTCTCAGGGAGGGGACACAGAGGAGCAGGGAGGGAATGAGTGAGCCTGGCAATAAGGGCAGGGGGGGAAGGTGTTGTTTTAATTTTGTCTCTGTTTCTCATCTATTTGAATTGGGAATAAATCAGCTTASTGCTGACACTGAGCCTAGGCTGGTGCACAGGGACACCAGTGTGACACCGAGCCAAGGTGTGAACACACTGACAGCGAGCCCACATGTGGCACAGGGACACCAGAGTGACACCAAGTCCAGGTGTGGCAAAGTTTGGAGCAGCCAAAAACCTCCCAGTTTAACCAATGCTAAAAGTTCACCTCCCAGCCACATTCCCTCAGCTGTCAGAGTTCGGATTTAGGGCCGTGTTTTTCACATGGGTGCACATAACAAACCAGTCACCTCTAGTTTCCCCAACACCACCCCTGCAGGAGCAGCTTCTCCAACCATTTCAAACCCCACCACCATGTGGAGATGAACTTTAGGAAAACCCTTCCCTCAGAAGAGCACAGCCAAGGGGCTCAACCAGCTTTGAAACCCCACAGCTGCAGATGTCCTCCTCCAAAACGTGGGTGTGCAAACTGCCCGGCTGCACAGCAGGTTTGGATGTGCTGCAGAAGGGCAGCAACAAGGGATGTCTGTTACTTTGGTGGGTTGGGGTGGGGTTTTTTTTTGGTAAAGAAAGCAAGAAATGAAACCTGTGCATATCACATGACGTCTCTGAGAACACCTGAGAGATTTCTACCACGTGTCCACAGGGGAATCCCTCCACAGGTCTGAAAGCACTCACATTTTTAGTGCCTGTAATTATCACTTAACCAAAAATAAATCCCAAAGTGCTCCCACTGGTACAATGAGAGGAAAGAATCCAGCTAAAGAGCTGGTTTTCTCCTCCCTGCACCTTTTTTATACTCTGCAGAGCTCAGTACCACCAGATCTCATCCATCTCTGAGTCAACCAAGTGAGGCATGATGGATGATGGGCAAGTTTTCCCTTCTCTGTGACAGATCTAAAGTCATTCCCCTCTGATTACAATCAATCCCCTGCAGTATAAAACCCCATCAATCCTCTCTCCCTGAAGAATCCTCCTTCAGCTCCACCAAAGGGGGAGGAAAAACCAGCAGTGACCTGCACAGAGAAGGTGGGAGAGCTCCTTTGTGCTTTCAACAGTCAGGGTTCTTATGGGTGAAACAGGATGGGGACGTGCACCTCTCATTCATTCCCACGTGCAGATCCCACAACCCCACAGGGAATCCCAGAGGAACCTGGAAGTCCCCAACTCCCCTGGGGATAAGGCAGAGGAATTTGGCCTTACCTGGCTCACTCTTCTTCTTGGATGCAGCTTTTTTCTTGGCAGGTGTGTCGTGCTTCTGATCCTCGTGTGCTGGGAGAGCCTCGGTTTTCTTGATGGTGACAGAGCCGATGACGGGAGCGCTCTGCTGAGTGCCCACCGGCGGCACTGCCACCACGGGCACCTCCTTTGGGGTCACCTCCCGCACGGGAGAGCTTTTGGGGACACTGACAGGAGCCGCAGCCAACGCCGGGCTAGGAGCTGGCTCAACCTTTGCCACCTTCTTCTCCTTCTTCCTCTTCTCCTTCGGTGATGGAACAGGTTTCTCCTTCTCCTGRGGGACAACTGCCACCGCTGCGATTGGGGTCTCGACTGTCACAGGCTCGGGCACCACGGCAGGCTCAGGAGCCACCTCCTTGGGAGGGTCTGTCACATCCTGAGCGAGCTGCTGCTCCGGGATCTTTCCGTTGGGTTTCTCTTCCTTTTTCTTCGCTTTCCCTTTTTTCTCAAGGGGTTTCTCTTTCTTCTTCTTCTCCAATTTCTGCTGCTGGGTCTTCTCGAGCTCCTTGCGCTGCTTGGCCAAGGCCTCCTCGTAAGAGGTTTCCTTCATGGAGAAGGTGGACACCAGGAAGATCCCGATGGCCGAGATCACCATGAAGCCTCCAAAGACCATGACACCCAACGTCTGAGGGTCGTACACATCCATCCTGYCTCACTCTTCTGTGCCTGCAAGACACCAGGACAACAGTTAGGGGCAGGAGGGGAGCAAAGCAAAGCAAGGGTCTGTCTGAGCAGGGGTTTCACACGGACATCTGTGCCTCCAAACAGCACCCTGCACTGAGAAGAGAAACGCTGCAGATTCCCACAGGTAGAGCTGCCTGCACCCCCCAAGTTTGTGCTCCTCTGGTCCATTTGAGTCCCATCAGACCCGGGACTAAATTTCCTTACCAGGAGAACTGAAGAAAGGGAATTAAAACCAGATGTGATCACAGACAGCCACCTGCCTCACTCCATGTCCAGTGGGGTGGTTTTGCATGACCCCAGGCCATACCTGCAGCAGGAAGGGAGCCCACTTTCAGACACCTGGGCAAAGCTTCGTTAAAATTTGGGCTTCCCCCTGGCTTTTTCACCACACCCAGATACCCACAGAGGTGTCAACTTTGGAGTAAAATATCTCCCCTCCTCCCTTTGCCACCGGCACACTGTGGCACTGCTGCTGAGGCCACACTGCCAATATGAGCTCTGGGCACAGCCACACCTGCAGAAAKATGCTGCTAATCCTCTCCTCTTCATGGCAAACTGAACCCTGTCCTGCTTTCCAGCCACCTCCTGTCCCATTCATGTGTTTCATCCACCAKGGCATCGCTTCCACRTGTGACATGACAGCACCAGGSCCATGCTCAGTGTCTCATGGTCACATTTGTCAYCAACAGCCRTGCCAAAAACCAGGCTGGAACCCTGCCATTTGTTCAGCCTGTCCTCCCCTCTGTCACCCCAAATCCAGTATCTTTCAGACCCATCTTTATCCACCACCCCTGGTTTAAATCACCCTGCTCTGAGGTGGCCCATGACCCCCCAGGTGCTGGTGTCAGGCAGTTCCTCTGGGAAGGCACACTTTCCTGGAGCTGCCATGGCTGTGGTTCCTCATCATTGTGAACCCAAACACAATGAGCAAAATGCAGAAGGTCCCCAGACACCAGAAGTTCTTGTCCCCACGCTCACCTTGCTGATATTATCAAGTTTCCTCTTTAAGGGGTTGTGGGTTGAGGAGGGAGGGAGAGGCTGGAAGGGGAGGAGGCAAAAATAAGAATAAAACTAAGGAGATCAGCATCTTTTCAAACCTCAGCTGCAGGGAGACACCTCGGAGGCTTTTCCTCCCTAAGAACTGGAGCAGCAAACTCGAATCTGCAGCTCAAGGCTGCTCAAGGTGGGGACAGTGCAGTGAAAACTCATCTCCAGCACCCAAGCAGGGGGAGCAGAGCTGGGAGGAGCTGCAAATCTCCCACTGGAGATTTGCCTGGGGAAGGATGTTCTAAGCAGCAGCAGCCCAGCTCTCCAAACAGCCCAGGTAAAGCAGCAGAGAGAGAAGCTGGCAGGCAGGAGGGCTGCCCATGCCAGCTGGAAGCAGTCTCCCCTGTCAGGGCCAATTTTCTACCCCAGGGCGCTGCTGGAGATCTGGGCTGATACTCCAGGCATCACTCTTTCACACCTGCCCTGGCCATTTTGCATTTTAGTGACTTCAGCCCACTCCATCCCAGCACAGCTGGCACCAAGGCATGGTCTCCTGGCTAGGGGGCATCGCTTTGGGATGGTCCCAAGCAGAACAGACAGATCATTCCTAMCCCACAGGGTGAGAAGGGATTTCTTCTTCCCAACAGGAGAGACAAATAAATAAAATAAAATTTWAAATAAACAAAACAAATTAAATAAAAAGCAGGCCTGGAGAACACACACCCACGATCTTGTTTAGGGCGACACCAAAGTGCCCAGCAGCTGTTTTAGGGGCAGAACGAGGTGATCTGCATTCTTCACCCCACAACACCAAAATATGGGCAAAAATGAACCCTCCTTGACCTCACAGCACCACAGTTTCCTATCCAGATAAAAATCTGCTGCTCCAGCTTGGGGCAAGGGCACCCCCAAGCGCTGACAAATGCACTCCAACCTCCCCAGCCACCCTCAAAAGCAGTCTGATGGAGCCCACAGTGGGTGGAAATAGGGGAAAAAATCCTAACCTTCACTACAGAGGGTGGATGAGAAGACAGAGTGGTGAGTTGGGTGAGACAGCAGCACCAGTGCCTGCCCCGCATCTGACCCTACAGAASTGTTCCCAAAGCCCTGAGAGTGCCCCATGCCCTCTCCCCCTCACAGAACCTCACCCAGCCCCACGGGCTGCAGTAAAAGCTGCCTGTACCTTGCCTCCTCCCCGGGCTTTATAGCCAAGGTGAGATAAGGATGTAAATGAGCACTGAAATCCTTGCTAGCGAGACAAAAGCACCTCAGCAACCCCCTCCAAACCAAAAGCAACACAGGGAAAAAACAGAGCAATGAGGAGCTGTGGGACCTGCAAAACAGCCAGAACGCAGCTGAGATGTTCAGAGGGGCCATCCAAGCTCGACCAGGGAAGCCCAAGAACAGGAGAAAATCCACGGGAAGGAGTGAGAGATGCCAAGCAGGCAGGAATCGCTCCCATGGCAAACTCTGGTCCTGCCCCAACGCTGGTGCCCCGCAGCCCAGCACCGACTCCGAGGAGCGAGTTGGACCTGTAGGGCTCCTCCTGCGGTCGGCACTTGGCACRCCCAGCCCGACAGCTCGCTCAGGGAAGAGCCCATCTCTGCAGCAGTGCATGCTTCAACCAAGCCAGGCCAGCCTTGGCATTCAGGGGATGAGGAAAAGTCTTCCTACGGGAACTTCCTGGTGCAGAGATGCCAGAAGCATTTATCCACTCAGGAGAGAAGCTCTGCGTTGACATTCCCTGAYATTGCCACCTTTGCCCTTCCAAGGGATGGAAGTTTGCTCGTGGATTTGCACAGGCAGACACCATCTCCCTTTCCTTTGGCAGGAAAACCCTCCATGTTCCCACCTGCACAAAGCCTTAGCCAGGACACAGCAAGGGGAGGCTCACACATCCAGCTGGACAGCCAAGCTCTGAAGAGGCTCCAGGACTTCAGCATCCTCCTTTCTGCAGCTCATGGTCCTCCAATTTGCATTTTTCCATCTGCCCAAGAGTGGACACCAGCAGTTATCAGAGTCCGTGCTCAAAAAATCGGTTCACATCCAATGCCAGGCACGTTTACTTCCATGAAGTTTCTGGAGCAGAATCATCCTCTGCTCCTCTCCCAGCCAAAATAGCGGAAATCATCAAATATCTTCAAAATAGCTTGTCCAGGTAAAGCTTTTCACCACCACGACARGAATAAGATGGTATTTCACTGCTTTAATAATATATAAATATAATATATTTATAATAATTGGTATTTCACTCACTTCCCATGTGAAGGAGCTGGCAGCACTGCTGTGCTCTGACTCTTCCATTCCTGTGGCTTTTCCCTGTTATCCATTAGGCTTCCCAACATCCCAGAYAGCAGCCCCAGAGACCTGACCTCCMYCACCTCCCTGCACAYRCAGCCACCTCCRTTTGACCTGAGCAAAAGTCCAGCTYGCCCTGGGGAAGCRGAGCCAGAAAAGCACTCGGCCTCGCTGGTTTTTCAGCACCAAACCATTTCCAGGATGAACCAGCCCACAGACATGTGACAYGACAGCACCGGGGCCATGCTCAGTGTCTCATGGTCACATTTGTCACCGACAGCTGTGCCAAAACCAGGATGGAGCCTTGCCACCTGTTCAGCCTCCCCTATGTGACCCTAAATCCATGGGAATTCAGTATCTTTCAGATGCAGCAACAGGTTTAAATCACCCAGGCCATGCAACAGGTGAGCAGAAGAAACCTTATTTYCTTCCACATCCAAAGGAAAATGTTATCTCCTCCTGCTGTCAACAGGTGCTGCAAAAGGGAAAATATGCTGTCTGCAAACAGGACACTGTCTCCCTGCATTCCAAGGCTCCCACCTTCCCATGGTGTCRAGGTGGCATCTCAGAGCGATGYAGMAGAGGTGACAAAACTCACAGCAGCKCCTGCCTGTAAGGCACCTGCAGCATCCTTTCCTCTAAAAATCCCAGCAGTTTAAAAAGAGGAGGGAAAGAGCAAGGACCAGGGAACTGGGAGGCCTGATCCTGTGAACAG